GCATAATCCTAAAATGGTGGGGGAGAAGGGAAGACGTTCAGGGTTGCCAAACATAGTCTTTTTCAGGATGTATCTATCTTCAAGGGTCTTCAAACTTGGCAAGTTTAAGACTTGTGGACTTCAACTCCCAGAATTCCTGAGCTAACTTAACTGGAGGAGGAATTCTGAGAGTTGAAGTCCACAAGTCTTAAAGTTGTCCAGTTTGACAACCCCTGATAGATTTAGAAGTTTGTAGCTTTAGTTTGTCAAGATTCCGTCCACTATGTGTAAGCAAATAAAGAGAGTGGATTTGATTGGACTTCACTGTATTGTCTCTGGACTTGATCCTGACACGTGGTTTTTCAAGTTTTGTTGATACATATTCCTTGCATTGTTGGCAGATTGTTTTCTATTTTATTATTTGTTTGGCTCTGGTGTTTTTTATGCATTCTACATTATTACATTTTATTCTTTTATCATTATGAGCTGTCCAGAGAATGGTTGGTGCCTGAATCAATTAAATTAAATTAGTGGGTGGCCAGAATCAAATGGACTACCACATTGTCCTCAGATGAACCAGGAATTATTTCTCGTTACCATGAATTGAACTTGTCTTTATTACGCTATGATTAACTCCCAAATGCTTCCATAGGGTACACAAGCAGAGTATGATTGCCTATTAGCTGGTATTCAAAGATAACAAAATTTCTAAGTCAACTGTAGCTATTAACCATACATGTCACTAAATATTGTATTATCTTTTGATAGTGACTGGTACAGGTCAATTGCCTCAGTCAGGAAATAGATTGGCATTATTCATTCTTGAACCCTTCACGAACGTGTTGGCTATGTTCCCTCTTCATTATTAAATGCTTTTTAACTGTAATTCTTGGGGTTGCTGACCTTACCACAATGAAATAAATCACTAACTCATTAATTTTCCTCTATTAAAAGCACACCAGGCATTTTACTCATAACAGGATCAATATATCAGGAACCTGGTTTCCTAAAGTGGCAATTTATCCCATGCCTTCGTTAAACAGGAACTCCAAACTTCCCTGGAGCAGCAAATATCGCTGAAGTGTGGTTACCTCCAATATTTCTCAGCAGTAAAATTCTCTCCATGACATTTCAGAATTAAAATCCCAAGCCAAATTCCAGGCCTGTCTCCAGATGCACTTGAAGAAATGGAACAGAAAATTATTTGCTCTTTCTACAGCTTTAAAAAGTTTTATGTCTCTGGGGAGATGAGTGGGATGCACATTAAAATGATTATGGCTGATTTTAACACTGAGACTGTAAAACCGTAGCAATGAAATGAGCCAATATTTTATCACTGAATGTATGATGGTATATTATACCTACCTTGATTATGTGAGGTTTATGCTGGTTTAGAACATAGTCTCTAGGTTAGTGGTCCTGATTTGCATGGAATAGCATAGTCTAGATCAGGGCTGTCAAACTCGCGTCATCACGGTGGCGTCATCACTTTCCCCCCCCCCTTCGCTAAACCAGGCATGGGCGTGGCCAGCATGACACATCTGCGAGCTTGACAGCCCTGGTCTAAATTAAAGTTGGGCTCTGGTTGCACTTAAGGTATATTGGACAGAATTTGCCCAAACCATCCAATGCTGTCCTTACCAACAGGAAAAAGTGCATAGGGCAATTCAGCATGCCTCAACCTGATAACACACATTCCTTTTCCTCCTCCCTGTGCAAAAGCCTCAACTGATCAAAGGCATAAATGATCTGATGATCATCTTTTTTCTTTTTGTATTTTGCTTTTGATGCCTTCACATCATTGTTGATTCCTGGTGACTGCCTGAACAAATCTCTGCAGTTTTTTGCTAGTGGTTTGCCATTGCCTTCTTCCTAGGACCAAGAGAGAGCGAATGACCCAAAGTTACCCAGCTGACAACTGTATTCAGCTAACAAGAAATGTCCTATTATATGTACAAATCCACATAAGATTAAAATGCACACATGGCTATTATATTATTTTAGTAATTTGGATTAATGCACTTTTGGTAGATCTCAAGTATTCTTACTTTAGCTGGCCTTTTACTCAGAAAAAGCAATGTTTTCTTTTGCTTAGCATGCTGACTGCAGATATTGTCATTTATAAAATATTATGATATATTTTGCTTTAATATGGTCAATTGTGGTTCAATAGCAAACCATGGTTTAGCGTAATGTAGAGTAAATATAGGATTTTGACAATCATAAATGAAAAATTGTCTTAGAAGCGGGGATTTCTCCAATTTTGTTCTCTGCAACCAATTTAGGACGTTTTGCCAAAACATTTACTTTCACTTTTGACAAACATGCCCTTATTGAACAATGGCTTCACTTAACAACCACGCTTCACTTAATAACCATGGTGATGTGCTTAACTACTGCTGCAAAAAGAGGTCACAAAATTGGCTGAGTCACATGAACTGCTTTACAACTGACGCAACTTATGACTGTAATGGACAGGCTCATTACAGTTGTAAATCAAGGACTAACTGTATATTGCCTTATGCTAGAAGAAAGCATTACTGTTGTTTGTGTGTACAATAACCACCCTTGTTTCAAATCCTGCAACCCAGTCTCTTAAGCTATGTATCTGCTTCGACAGAATCTCTTAAACTTTTAAAGACATTTCTATCCCTATCATTTTTAGTTAATCTTCTGTCATAGTTTTGATTGCTTGGTCTGTTAGCTGGTCTGCAACCTTAGAGAAGCTGATTTTTCATTATATCAAAAATACAAGTACTTTTACAGGTATCTTCCATGACTCATTGTACCAAACTCATAGGGTTGGGCATGTACAAGAGAAGAAGGGGGCATGTATATACGTGGCTAGTTGTCAGCTGGGCTGAATCGGTGAGAATATTTATTTTTCAAATTTCTTTAGCCACCCATCATATATATAGCTATGATTCTGTGCAGCTAAGCAGTTAAAATGTAAACACAAGATAAAGGACAGAACAATTTAAAAACAGAAAAATTACAATGTAAAAGTATTCCAAAGCCATCATAAAATACAAAAACTTAACCGCTCATAATCCCATTCATCAGAACAATCAGTACATCCCCTGCCATGGGTCTACCTGCATCACTGGGCCCGTGTGTGTGTGTGTGTGTGAGAGAGAGAGAGAGAAAAGACTTTGTGTCTTCAGGGCCCTGCAGAAAGCCAGCCAGGTTGAGGCCAGTCTGATCTCTGGAGGAATGATATCCCATAGGGCAGATGCCATGGCAGAAAAAGCTCCTTTCCTGGGTTCTGCTACGATACATTCTGGCCGCTGAGACCTGCCACATGCTCGTCCTGCCCAAACTGATTGGTATTGATAGATGTTATTGGGGGGAGGTGGTCCCTGACCACCACCCCGTGCCACGTATGGTTTCAGCAGCAGGAATTTCGAACACCGGGAATTGAACCTGGAACAAACTGGCAGCCAAGGCAGCTCATGCAGCAGAAATGTAACCTGTGCAAATCACGGAGCACATACAATAGTGTGTGCGGCTACGTTTTGAACCAGTGGACATTTCCGAATGCTCTTCAAATGCAGCTCTATGTAGCACATTGCAGTAATCCGTATGAAATAACTGAAGTATGAATGATCACAAACAGGGCTTCCTGGGCTAAGAAGGGGCACAACTGGTACACAACATCTAATATTTTTGGAATGCTTTTGGAGCAGAAGTCAGGTAGGATTTTCATAAGGTAGTCCTCATTTAAGAACTGCCTCATTTAGCGACCATTTGCAGTTATGGTGATGAAGAAATAGCTTTACAGCCATTGATGACCTTCTCAGGTTTATTAAGCAAAGGGAAGCTGAAGTAAGATGACAAGCACAGTAGACAATGGTGTCACTTAGCACATGAAGATTGAGTTGCCGGTCTCAATTCTGGTCTCTGAATGAGGACTACCTGTATTTTAATTTCTATACAGAACAAATCGGTATTGTTCTGGTTTGCTGGTAACAGGTGCGGATGGCTGAGGTCTCAGAGAGCGAGGACTCAGATGAGGGGCCTGCATGTGATGCAGGGATGGAGCCAGGACCATCAGGAAGTGGAATGCTGCCTTCGAAGATGGTGGAGGCTGGCAGCAGTGATGCAGAGGACCCCGAGGAGCCTGTGCCCAGTACGTGTGCACGCAGGGCTTCTCGAAGGAAAGAGCAGCTGCAGCAGCACAGGCAACTCGGGAGTAAGACTGCAAGGTAATGGCCCCTCCCTTAAGAGATAAAAGCTAGCTGAGAAACCGGAGTTCTTTGCAGGAAGCAAATAAGTTTTTGCACTCAAGCCTTGTGGACGTTCGGAGTATCTTGGTTGGTGTTTGGAAACTCTTTGTGCTTGAAATATTCCTTAGTAACTTTATCTAGTATTCTTGGCAGCCTTGCACAACCTTGGCAAGGCCCATTCTTATCAGAGACAATTAGTTTGAAACGGCCTTTTAACCGTGAAGGAACGGAATTTGTAAAGAATCATTAAAAGGTTTTGCTGTTACCTCTGTTTTGTGTTTGTTTCCTTGGAACAACGTTTGGATCAGAACAGGTATCAACTGATAAAGCACAGATATAATCATATGCAGATTTATGAAAAATATTTTTATTATGTAACACCTTGTTTTTAACAATGTTGATTTCTTTTAAAATTCAGAATACCTGCATCATTCATGTAAAATAGCTTGATACAGTACATGGTATAGTTTTTCCTCAAATTCTAATGTTCTCCTAAGACCGTGATCCTTTATTAAGGGCGACCTCCCCTCCCCCCTCAAACCAACCTCTCCCATCCTGGGGGTCCCCATATGACCATCTCCCCCCAGTTCTAGCCATGCTGGCTGAAAACATGTGGAACTGAAATCCAATTCATCTGGAAAGTTCCAGGATGGGTAAGAGTGCCCTAAAGAAACGTGCGAACATCTTTAAAAAATATTTAAGAAAATTTAAAATCCACTACATCAAGCCAGCTCTCAAAAAGTCATGACAAACATATCTGGATGAATGCCGCACTGTGTTTTTTGCAGGGTAACATCACTCATGCTTTTTAAACTTCCAAAGCATGCTCACAAATCAGTTAACACCAAGAGGGGGGAAAACATCGCCTATGACAATCAGTATAGTTTGCTGAACCAAACAGCTTTATCTTAATAACACACTCATTACTATCAAATAGCAGCTTTAATACCAGTCAAGTCATAGATCTGAGAACAAAATATGTTGAAAATTAATCTTTGGGAAGCTTGTAAATCTGCTGGAAAAAAATGCTTATGTTTCTTTTTTATTATGTCTTTAAAAAAATCTCTGCAGCAAATTTGTTGGTCATAAAACATTGCTCAATGTGGAAAATGGATCAACCCACAAAAAAGTCACTAAAAATCAATATATATCAAAAATTCTCTCAATTGAAGCCATAGATAGTTTGTTTTCATCTCATTAACACATACTGTATACTTCAAATACCAGTTAAGATATTTGTGTGTGTGTGTGTGTGTGTGTATTATTGGTCAGATAATGTTGTCAACATCAATAGAATTCACAACAACAAAAATGCTTGCCCCTAGCACATTTCACAGCTTCAACTGCTACAGACTGTCACTGAAAACAATGCATTGGTCAGTCTGAATCATGTCAAGTAAACTATGGAAGTAGCATATCCACAACACAAACTGTGCTAGTACTTTCTTTTCAAGTCTCATTCCATCAACAGGTACAATCTGTGGGAGGGACTCCTCCCAGCCTGTGAAAAGTAGCAGAACGTGGCTATCAGACATTCTGACAGTTCCAGTACATTCTTGCAGCCCAAAGCCAGGTTCTAGGCAGACAGCAGCACGGCCAGTCCTGCAGCCTTAGCAACAGTGCATTGACTTTATATTCAGATGCAGCTCAGTACCGGTGTGTCTGATGAGAGTACTGTGGAGGCTGCTGGGAGGTAGTTGAATATCCCATGCTACTCTGGGGCTGTGATGTGCTTGGTCCAGGGTTAGGATAGGCAGCATGGGGGTTGGAACGCTGAAAAAGAATCACAACACAGTTGACGTTGTATACAAAATGCAGCTCGTGTTAGAGAGACGACAAAACATGCTTCATCCAATCTGAGTTGGCTTAACCTTTGCTCCCGGTGACCGACTCAAGACTGCATCCTGCAACGTTATCCTGAGCACATACTGTGTTTCCACGAAAATACAACCTACTCTGAAAGTAAGTCCTAGCTTGATTTTTTACACATGAGCCCAATATAAGTCCTATCCCCAAAATAAGCCCCAATTAAGACCCCACCCACTCCAGGGGCACAGGTAAAAATGAAGCTGGGGGGGGGATGGGGGGGTGGAGCTGCCCTACTACTTACCTTCAGACAGTTGCAGCCAGGCCTTGCACATCTTGGCGCTTTTCTTCTGCAGCGGGAAAGGCTTTCCTGAAGGCCTTTGTAGCTAATCACTCCGGATCGATCCGGAGCTGTGTTATCCGCTGCAGAGGATTTCAGGAAAGCCTTGCCAGCCAAAGAAGTCCCTGAAGGCCTCTGACAGTGAAAAGGAGGCCAGGGGTGATGCACACAAGTGGGGGGAGTCAGTGGACGACACCCCCCCCCCCCCCCCCCCAAAAAACCCCTGGCCTTTTTTTGGGGGGGGAAAAAAAAAAAAAAAGACAGGGTCTTATTTTCGGGGAAACATGGTATATTTACTTTTATTCACCAAACATGCTTGCTTTGATTCATTCCTCTAAATATTCACAAGAACACTAATGCCAAAGATTAACCCCCACCACAAACCACATGCCCTATAAGTGGTGTTAATATATACCAACGCAATGGTCATTTTTACATTAAAAAAAACCTGATTTCTGCCTATCCTCTTTAAGCAGACTTGATGACAGATGGATAACAACATTTCAGAAATATTTTGTCCATGTAATGAAACTACCTCAAATACACTTTCCTGCTCAGGAGCATATGCTGAGTGTGGTAGAATGTGTCCTACTTAAAATCATATATTTACCATGTGGGAGTATAAAAATGTATTGAAATATAAAAAAACTTGAGAACTGACAAGGGAGTTGGGTGGCATATAAATTTAAGATATTATTATGAATTTGTCTTGATCTTTTCACACATATAGCAGATAAAGTAATAATTTCAACATTTCCCCAATGCCATTATAATCAGAAGTGTTTAAGACAGCAGGCTGAGATCTTGAGCTTGATTATTTTCAACAAATGAATAGGAAAAAGTAAATTCTCTTTGATACAATAAACTATCTGTGCCACTCATATTTTACTCTAGAGACAGGCTGGGATTTGAACTTGCTCAATTGCTTGCATTATCTTTAGCTCTTATCGCTGCTTACTCCAATATTCCTGAGAAAATGGTTTTCCGTGTTTGGTGCAAGGGATTTCAGTGAGGAGATGGGAAAACTCAATTCTGCAAACGGAATTCCATTCTCTCAACAGAATGGGTATTAAGACAATACCTTCACAGTCTTCCTGATTACTTCGATATCAAATATTTCCTTGATCTTGTTTGCATTTTAAATGTATATGCATAATTTTGAGCATTCAAATGTAAATTCTTAGGCACCACAAAGAAGTATCTTCTCTAGGATCATCTGTTCTCATCATGGTCCTCGGATTTCCAAAAGTGTACTATTGCCAGTGAAACTAATTTCATCCTCCTTGCCACTGGCTGCCCTCTTTTTTTCAACCTTTCCAGGGTTATAGACTTCTCCAGAGAATTACCTCATTACACAGTGTGTCCAAAGTAGCATAATTTGTGCTTGGTCATTTGTACCTTCAGTGGCTTGATTTGTTTGATGATTCATTTCTTTTCTTGGCTATCCAGGTTATTATCATGAGCAGACCTGGGCGTTTTACAGCCCCAAGGCTACATCCAGCTCTTTGGTTGTCACTTGACCCCACATGTGAGGTCACTTGGAAATTAAAAATCAAACTAAATAGGTGCACCTCAGGGGGCAGGAGAGGAGGCCAAGTGAGGGCTGGCTCTGCACAGCTGCCGTGCTCTCCTCCAGTTGGACGGTAGCAATGAATAGTAGCAATGAGTGGGCAGGGAAAGTGCTTTTCTGCACCTGCACAGTGTTTGCCCCTCACCTGGAGCCACCTGAGGCAGCATTAGTCATTGTATAAGGGGAGCTGGGCTTGTTCGCCCACTGTCGCCTCAGATGAAGTGTGGCCTTGCAGATGAATAGGCAGAGTGAAGCCAGTAGCTACTGGTTCTGCCCTCCATGACAGGCCCCTTGAGAAAATGAATCGCCTGCTGATGAGCCTTCTCCAATGGCAAAGTTCAAACGCGCATTAATAATCTTTCTCTCCTGCTTCTTGAAAGTCCTGCTTTCACTCCATAGAATATCACAGGAAAAACCATTGCCTGCATGGTTTTTATCTTTGCAGGTCACTGTGGCATCTGATCATGTCTTCCAGAGCTTTTACTGCTACTCTACCAAGGGCTAATTTGCAAGGCATTTATTGTCTGCTGGTTCCTTTACTAGTGATAGTTGATTGATAAAAAGCAAAAGATGTCTAATACTTTGATATCTTCACTGGCAATTCATTTCATTTTCATTTCTAATGGCTGTAGAATTTTTGCACCGGTAGCTATCAATACATAACTAATAGCTTTACACACACAAAAAACCCCTCTCTACCTATGCTATATTAATTGGCAATATTTTCAAAATACCCAGGAAAATGAGTGCTAGATTATAAAGAGATTCTGAAATTTGATTATTTGAAACAATAAATTATTCAGATGTCTCCTAGGAAGCCTACCAAGCATCATAGGATGACAGACATGTAAAGAAATATATTCACTTTTTCCTTATTAAAACTATGAAGTTATACTCCATTATTTAAAAATAACAGTTAAAAGCTGGTTAACCTTATGATATGAAAAAAAACTACAAATTGGACAAAATCTGCTTTACTACATTCAACAACCATATTTGTCACATATGACTTATATGCATGTTTCTTCTATTGAAAAGTAGTTGTATAAGTTTTTTTTTTTACAGAAACAATATTGTCATGGATAAAATGCTGCTCACAAATATTTTGTTTGACCCCAAAGCTCATCTTGCAATGTTTTATTTTTGTTCACAGGGAACGTTCTACACCTTCTGACTCTTTTATGTACTTTCATTGATTCCAACATTTTTCTTTGACATAAGGTAGGCAGATGTGTGACAGTCTGAAACAGAAATATCCATTAAATGCTGGATTGCAACATAGCCTTGTCCTTTACTCAGAATAGATCAGCGTGCCACAAAACGGCACATTCTTTTCAATAGAAAAGCAAATGACTTGTGAAAAGCTGAGTCTTGGCATTCTTTTGTGTGCCTTCTGCAAATAATTTCTACTGAACAGAGACCAAACCAAGGATATGTTAGATAAAAATAGGGTGAGCAAAAGGAAAAGGAGTCATGTTCTCATCTGATTACTAAATACATTCATAAATCCATCTCCTAAATTGTCAAAAGATTCTGAATGTGTAATCTGATTTTACTGAATAACACACTGGATATTTTTTTCCCCAAAAGCTTTGCTTCCCAAAAAAACATTTGGTAATTATGACAAACCCTTTCAAACTGAACACATTTCAGAAAGACTGTATCAAGTGGGAATCTTGAGAAATACAAAATTAACTTTTAATAACTGTAATGTATTTAATCGCCTGTTTCCGACACACTGCATGAATTCAACAGGGCTAAAAGTGTTTTGCTGCTGGTTTTTGTTTGTGCTCAGTGTCTGATGCATCTCACTGTAGTGTACAACAATAGTCATTCAGCACTGATGGATTCCAATTGCTATGATGCTTTCCCCCTTTTTGGGGAAAAGTTGAAGCGTGAATGGAGAAAATGAATCTTTAAGTGACATCTTGAATTTCATTGTCTTATATACATACAAGTTTGTCAATCAGCTGAATATAGTCTAGCGACCTGTAGTTACCAAGAAAATTCTCAGCGACATTTGGGAGATGACCAGGGTGAGACTGAGGGAGGGGTCAAATGCACCATCAGTCATGAATCCCTGCACAATCACAAGAGATCTAAGACCAGCCCTCCTTGAATTCCTCTCTTATCTCTTGTTGATTTCCCTTGACTGGTCAGATTCTTGTAGAGCTTATGCTTGCAATAAATCTTTATATTCATTTGAACTGCCTGAATCTCCTGATTTCCCCAGTGCTTGACACAACATCCTTGAATGCTTTCTAGGTGATTTTTCTTCTGGCCCCACTAACAGATTTTTGAACACTTGTCACTGATGATATGTCTGATCTGTGGACCAACACAAAAGCCTTCCTTAATCTTGGCATCAGTTATTCTTGGAAACATCTGTCTCAAAATAGCAAAGCATTCACTTTCTTTGTTCATTGCCTTTACAAAATTTTTGCAAAAAATATTTTTGTCGGGTCAAGAAGTTGTTCATGGGCCACATTTTTCTGTCCTGGAACCTTCTTTTTAATGTAACATGACTCCTTGCACAGCTGTCCCATTTGCCTGTGTAACTTGGTGTAGCTGAGCTGCATTCCAAGCAGAAGAGCTTTTATATTCTAGTTGTACTTGGTGTGCAAGATGTGCTTCAACAACAGTTTCATGTTTTCATTTCTTTCATGTGTGCTGCATAGCCAACATTGCTATTGTGTAAAAACAAGAGATTTCTATAAAATGATTCGTGATAGATTAAATTCCAGGTTATTTTTCATGATTGGCAGCTAAAAATCTGTAAGATACAAAAGTGTTCAGGATGCAAAATCTTTGTTGTCATGAATCCTGGTGAAAAGGCAATATAAAAATGAAGACATTTTATGCCCCTTATACGGTATGCAGATGTTATTACTAATCTTTTTTTAAATAATAAAAGTGGATTCAAACAGATACATGTACAATGATTTACTTGAAATGTGTGCTAAAATAAATATTTCGCAAAGTAATGCAAACAAAGACAAGGAAACAGATGTGAAAAATGGATACCTGATAATCTGAGGTCATAATAAGTCCACCTGAGGTAGTGGTAGGAGGAACTACTCTCACTTTTTTCAAAGGAGGCCCTTGTGTGTGACTGTTGTCTTGATTCCCTGGATGGCCAGTTCCATTTGTGTGGTTATTGCCCTGCTGCTGCTGCTGGTTCTTCTCAAGTGATGAAAGAAAAAAGAAAAATACAACTCAGAAGCAATTCAAATGCTGGAAATATGAAATTCTCTGTAAGATCAATGGGACACCAAGGTGATACTAATTAAATAGCTGCACAGATCTAAAGCAAAGATAAACTATCAAACTATTTATTCAGTCTATTAAAAATGTTTACTTGGAACTAAATTGAGATTATGTGTATAGGTAATCCTCCCTTAACAATAAAAGTATGATTGGTTAGCAACCATTTGAGGTTACAATGGACTGAAAAAGTTACAACTGCCACACATGCACCCCAGTCATATGATTGCATTTTAGGTGCCTGGCAACTGGCTTGCAAATATGATTGGAAGTAGCATGGTCATGTGAGCGTGATTTGTGATGTTTCTGCCAATTTCCAGAAGAACTTTCCCACACTTGGGAGAATGGATTTGCTTAACAACCATGTGTTTTGCTAAAAGACCATAGTGATTTCCCTTACCACTGTCATAAAAACAATTATACAATTGAGTCAGGTCACATGGTGACCTACTTAATGACCTCATCAACTTACAACCAAAATTCTGGTCCCAAGGTAAGTTGCTAAGTGAGTGCCTCATACGAAGTAAGCATTTTAGATTTGCAGTTTTAACTAAAGCTGAGTAATAAGAAAAGAAACTCTAGTCCTGAGGATAATAAAAGCTCTTCCTGTCCTCCAGGAAATAATCTGAGTGCACTGTATTATCTAAGGTCTTCTATTGTGTATAGCAAAGCCCTTGTAAAACCACACATTGTTGGGATCCAATGTTATTTACAGCTTTATGAAAAGCAATTGTTTTTAGGTTTTTAGGTCTGTTTTCTTGCTACATCTTATCATCAAGCTGGTCATATTATCAACTGATCAAACTGAGATTATAAAATTCAGTCCCAAAGTGGGCTATTCATTAATACATGCCCAAAACTATACCTGCTATTCTTAAAATGTTTCATTTTATTATTGTCCTTTGTTCTTGTAATAGTGAAGTTTGTTTTCACAAAGATTTATACAACATTGTGAAGTCTGCAATTCTGCAAACACCAATATTTCAAATCGCATCCAAACCAGGCATCCCTCCAAACATCCAAATACATTTATAACTCTACAAATTATGTGAGTTGTCAATCTCCAACATTAAGCTTTTTTATATTTGGTAGACATTCTTAAATTTCTCACTGTTAATGTTTAGTACTGGCAATAACTGTGATAAATATAATGATATTCCCATATTATCAAATATTCATTTTGTTCTCACATGTGATATTTAATTCTCATATTCTGACAAGGTACAGTTCAATAAAATTCCACTAAATATACATAGAAAAATACCCATTCACATTCTTATTATGTGATTATTATAATACCAATCTAATTCTCCAAATCACAGACAAGTATAAAACTATACAAGATGGGAAAAAAATGTCTAAATGTACTTTTGTTATACCCCTTGATGTGATACCTACTTTGTCTCCTTTGTCATCAGGCTCTTCTTCAGTTAAAAATTCTCGTTTTGGATATGGGATCTGGCAGCCTGCAAACACACTGCAAAAGTCCATTGTTTTAGTGTATTAATGAATAAATGTATGAAGAAGGATAACTGCAAGCACAGGTAGTCCTCACTTACTGACTCACTCAATTAGTGACTGTTCAAAGTTACTATGGTATAAAAATAAATCAAGCTTTGTGACCAAACCTCATATTTATGACTACTGCAGAGTTCCACAGTCATGTGATCATCATCTGAGCACTTTGCAGCCAGCATGTATTTATGTTGTAGGGTCCCACAGTCATTTGATCACATGCTTCCCAACTGGTTTGTGACAAGCAATTGATGGGAGTGTGGAATGAAAATCATAAGTCATTGTCATGTGATATTTCTCTTAAAGACCATGGTGGCGTGCTTAACGACCGAGTGGGAAGTGGCATTGTAAATCTCTAGTGGCCACATAATTTGTGGTGCTTAGCAATGGATTTGCCAGTCAAATTGGAGTCACTAAGCGAGGACAATCTGTATCCATTTTCTTCCCTATAATTTCTAACTTTACCTTAATAACAAGTTTCACCCCGTGATTAAAAGTGGTAATAAAACATTTTTCACTATGAACTAAGACCCGCTTCATCAGTTCTTTGCAGTTTGATTTTAGGGATTGTGTGTAATCATTAAGTGTTTGATGAGCGCTTTGGGGTTGGAGATTAGCAGGCCTGTGTTTGAGACCTGAGGGCTGCTGGATGGCAGGGTGAGCTCCTGTCATTCACTCCAGCTCCTTGACATGGATATGAAAAGAGCCCCCATGGGTATCCCCCAGCAAATGGTGATATCACTGGCCAATCCCCTCAAACTGAAAGTGCCTTAAATGGTGCCTCTGACACGAAAGAAATGGGACCCCACCAAGGCATCCTGATGTTGGTTTATGATTAGCATGGCTTCTGCCGATTTACAATGGAAACATAAAATAGAATCATTGTCAGCAGCACAATTCTATAACCAGATCCCCAGTATGGCACACTCACAACAATATACTCTTTGTAGATTGGCTTTGAAATATTGGGGCAAGGTGGTAGCTTGTGTATGTCTTGACATAATTGCCAGAAAGTTGAAAAATAATCACCCTGTTGTAGTCAATCATGTAGATTGTCAGTTTACAGAAGTAATCCAGTAGTTTACTATTGTCAACTATATTAAAGTCTAAGGCTGTACATTACAGTGCTTCATGTCTGGAGGATGTGGATATAACTCTAGAGGACACCTTTTTCCTTTGAATTCAAAGTTCTGCACCTCCTTATTAAAATATTTTACAAGACCAAAGAATAAAAAAGTTCCACTGTCTGTCAATAATGGTAATCCAATAAATGATTAAAATCAATTCAATCCCAAAATCACACCTCAGATCAGGCTGAAACCAGTGTATTCTAAGAATGTCTTCCACCATCCTCTTCAACATACCACACAAAATACCCACATTTTCAAGCCATACAAGCCCTGAACCAGGACAAATACCATGATCCTCTATCTCAATAAATGTTATTTATAACCATAAGTAAATTAGAAACATAATCTAAACTTAACATTGGGTAAAACAGTTTAACCAATAAAATATTTAATAAATACTACATAAAAGACTTTAAATTCCAGCTCATTGATTCGTTACCAAAAGCCTTGTTTTTACAGCCATACTTAAAAATCTGGCTGTTGCCACTGTAATTTTAGGATTTTCATCTACAATTGAATTACATTTGCACACTCCAAAACATCTCTTAGACTTAAAATAGATAATGTTCTGACAAAGACTGTTATAATATTCATTATATAATATAATATGATCCACTATTTCAAGATCAGTACCATTATAAGGACAAAACCTTTGGTGAGAGATAGGATTTTCTTTTTTTCTTGGAATCTACCATATACAGGTGAAACTCGAAAAATTAGAATATTGTGCAAAAGTTCATTTATTTCAGTAATGCAACTTAAAAGGTGAAACTAATATATGAGATAGACTCATTACATGCAAAGCATGTTCAAGCCGTGATTTGTCATAGTTGTGATGATTATGGCTTACAGCTCATGAAAACGCCAAATCCACAATCTCAGAAAATTAGAATATTACATGCAATCAATAAAACAAGGATTGGACATAGAACAATATTGGACCTCTGAAAAGTATAAGCATGCATATGTACTCAGTGCTTGGTTTGGGCCCCTTTTGCAGTAATTACTGCCTCAATACGGACTGGCATGGAAGCTATCATCCTGTGGCACTGCTGAGGTGTTATGGAAGACCAGGATGCTTCAATAGCAGCCTTCAGCTCTTCTGCCTTGTTCGGTCTCATGTCTCTCATCTTTCTCTTGGCAATGCCCCATAGATTCTCTATGGGGTTCAGGCCAGGCGAGTTTGCTGGCCAATCAAGCACAGTAATCCCACGGTCACTGAACCAGGTTTTTGTGCTTTTGGCAGTGTGAACAGGTGCCAAGTCCTGCTGGAAAATGAAGTCAGCATCCCCATAAAGCTCATCTGTGGAAGGAAGCATGAAGTGCTCCAAAATCTCCTGGTAGACGGCTGCGTTGACCCTGGACTTAATGAAGCACAGTGGACCAACACCAGCAGATGACATGGCTCCCCAAATCAACACAGACTATGGAAACTTCACACTGGACTTCAAGCATCTTGCAGTGTCTGCCTCTCCATTCCTCCTCCAGACTCTGGGTCCTTGGTTTCCAAATGAAATGCAAAAGTTGCTCTCATCAGAAAAAAGGACTTTGGACCACAGAGCAACAGACCAGTTCTGTTTTTCTTTAGCTCAGGTAAGGCGCTTCTGATGTTGTTTGTTGTTCAGGAGCAGCTTGACAAGAGGAACACGACATTTGAAGCCCATGTCCAGGATCTGTCTGTGTGTGGTAGCTCTTGATGCACTGACTCCAGCCTCAGTCCACTCCTTGTGAAAGTCCCCAACACTTTTGAATGGCCTTTTCCTGACAATCCTCTCCAGGCTGTGGTCATCCCTGCTGCTTGTGCACCTTTTTCTTCCACACTTTTCCCTTCCACATAACTTTCTATTAATCAGGCATGATATTCCCCTCTGAAAAAAAAATCGGGGCCTGCCAAAAGAGACCCCGTGCCGCGAGCCAAGAAATCGCACACACAACACCAACGCTACACACCCTTCCTTTCCAGCCAGTCACGTGTGGATCAGCTCCAGAGCTGGGCAGCCGCTTCCCTGGGGGCAGGGCCGAGGCCGCCGCCCGGGGAGCGCCTGCTGCTTTCCCTCGCCAGGGCCGGGCGGTGGCGTGTTGCACGGAGAGACGGATGGTCCGTGGCTGCCCAGCTCCCTTTTCCTGCCGCTCAGCGGCCTCCGCTCACACCGCCCAGGTGTCCGGCTGGGGCTGTCAGGTGTTGCTACCGCCGGCGCGGCTCCGCGCGGCTCCAGTCCCGCGTTGCCTCGGGAAGGGAAAGGCAAAACCGGGAGCTGCTGCGCCTGAGCCTCCGGTGCTGCTGCTGCTGTTGCAAAGCGCCGCTGCGGCTCTTCCTTTTTGCCTTTCCCTTCCCGAGGCAATGCGGGACTGGAGCCGCACCGGCGGTAGCAACTCCTGACTCAGGGGGCCTCCGAGGGGAGGGGAAGGAGGAGAAGAAAGGGGGGAAAGGGGGGGTGGGCGATTTCCAAAAAAATCGGAATTCCGATTTTAATCGGAAGAATATCATGTCTGATTAATGTACTTTGATACAGCACCTTGGGAACATCCAACTTCTTTTGCAATTACCTTTTGAGGCTTTCCTTCCTTATGGAGGGTGTCAGTGATGGTTTTCTGCACAACTGTCAAGTCAGCAGTCTTTCCCATGATTATGATTCCCACTGAACCAGACAGAGACCGTTTAAAGGCTCAGGAACCCTTTGAGGGTGTTATGGCTTAATTAGCTGATTAGAGTGGGACACTTTGAGCCTAGAATATTGAACCTTTTCACAATATTCTAATTTTCTGAGGTTGTGGATTTGGGGGTTTCATGACCTGTAAGCCATAATCATCTCAATTATGACAAATCACGGCTTGAACTATCTTGCTTTGCATGTAATGAGTATCTCATATATTAGGTTCACCTTTTAAGTTGCATTACTGAAATAAATGAACTTTTGCACAATATTCTAATTTTTCGAGTTTCACCTGTAGTTTGTTTGATGGCAACACATTTCAATCTGGCTTTTGAAAAGGTTGCTCTGCATTTACTAAAATATCAGCAATTCAAATATTTAGGGAGTTGAAAAATATAATTAATTCCAAACGTTGCAGGAGAACAGGATACTTTGACTTTGGACATTCATTCCTGTACGGAATTATCCCATAGGATTTTTTTTTTTTGATACAATGAATTGCTGATGTCACATCCCTGGAGTATACATAATTAGGATCAATGTCAATTTGACTAATCTTTTGAGTCACCTTGAGATACTTTATCTGTGTCTAAGTTAGCATAGAGTGGAGTTTTTTCATCTATGAAGTCTTCAAACTTGTTACAAATGTTGGTTGATGTCAACATTCCAATCAGCTTGTCAAAATTTTGGTATATTGCTGCACGTACCATCACGTACTATGTGTGATGGATGGCAATATAAATTGAATACATTCATTTAAAAAATTATCTCAGGATGATACAAAATGCTTCTATTTATAGATACAATGGAAGCAATGAAATAAACTGCCCATATTGCCTGATGTAGATATGACTATATGTTTTAGTGCCAAGGTCCACAATACTATACAAAGGATGCTGATATGCCTGTGAAGACATTTTTAGCTCCTTAGTCTGTTAAATGGCTTGTCCTAGCAGGATGAGATGGTTCATCAGGTAGCCTGGACCTATGTCACTGAGTGATTTAAAAGCCATAACCAACACCTTGAGCTGCACTCAGAAGTAGACTGTAGCCAGTGAAGTTCACAGATATGTTCCTTATAGAAGCCATTTAGGGAATGGACAAGCCCAGTCTGAATGCAATATAACTTTCACCAGATTAGAATGATAATGTTGATGGACTCCAGGCTTTCAGCCGAAGTCTCACCCCTACACATAGGAAAATTACCAGAAGATTCAATAATCTATGAAGATTCCCTAGTTGTCTGGAGCAGATCTTCCTATTTCTGACAGGGACGGCTGATGTCTTAAACCTAAATCTCAACATTAGACAAAATGATGTCTTGAATCCCATTAATTTTCTTGTAATCTCTCTCATGGATTACCAAAATCGCATTACATACTGAGTAGGCATGCTCTTACCAAAGACTATAGAAGCACTCCTCTTAGCTTATCAAATGGCATGCTGTTTGGAAATATCTCAAGAATTTTTTTTTTTTAATGTGGCCACAACTATTTTTCTGGAACAATTTAAATGAATTTAAGAACTCTGATGTCATTAACACTTTGCCTTCATAACCTATTAATACTCGTATCTTTTCTATTAAGATGCTAAGAATGAACACTGTGTTGTGGCCCGCCAGCTGCCAGCAGAGTTGGTGGCAGACTCAAAATGAGGAGGAGGTTGGGGAAGAACTTGGGCCAGTTCTGGAGCCCGGGGAAGGCTCTGATGGATGCTCAGAGTATGACACAGAGATAGAGCCAGGGCTGTCCAGCATTTCCCAACCAGAGAGGCAGCTGCCTTTGGAGTCAGAGATGAGTGAGAAGGAAGAACAGCTGGGGCCTGTTCCAGATCTGCGTCTGCTCAGAGCAGATAGAAAAGGTGAACAATGGAGGACAATGAGCAGGCTTGGGAAACAAACGTGGATGCTGAATGGCCCCTCCCTGGCTGGGGAATAAATAGGAGGAAAGGCGAGTGGCTTGGTTGTCAGAGACAACCATTTACATTTCTGGAAAGTTTGCTCCTTTTGTGTTTCATGCTACAAATACTGCCTTGCCAGAACCGAGGCTTGTCTATTTCTCTGTTTGAACTGACTTAATTTGCAGCCTCCCAGCTAGGAGCTTACAGCCTTGCATTTATCATAACAAGCTGATAACGACTATTGTTTCAGTTAACTTCTTGCAGGACTCTTGTCTGGATTTTCTGTTGGTGAATGCATTTAATTCCCAATGTGTAAATAAAGAGGGGTTTTCCTTTGTGGGGAGTCTGTTTCTTGCTTCTGCGAAGACTGGGTCAGAACACACTATTCTTTGGGAACTTAAGTGAGTAAAGACAGGAAGTTGTCAAATTAGGATTACAGAAGGATATGAGAATCAAATTCAATATTGTTGAACGTTCTTATAGCAGAAGCCATCGTTTAAAATTCTTGCCTTTACCTCCCAAAATGAAATTATCACCATCTGGATGCAGTGCAATGCAAACTCTTTCCTAGGGCTTTATCAGTTAAGGGAGAAGTAAAAAAAAAACCTTCCAAAATCCCACATCAGGCTGCTTTATTGGGAGTGACTAAAATAACTTACAATTGACTCTATATGTTCACCTATCCATGAAAGTTATAATCTGTGCAAGCCCCTTGGCTCCTGCTGACAGTATATAAAAGCTGCTTCAACAGAACTATTAGTTTTACTTGGTATTATATAGGAATCTCGCATTTCCACATAATACTAAGATATAAAACACAGTTTTTTACCCTGTCAATATAATCTTTTAACCTAATCAAGTATAAAGGGCTGTGCTTTTCCAGTTTTTAATTTCAGTCCCAGTGAAGTCAAATATTACAGAATTATTTATAACTTTTTACAAATAATAACCTTTTTTTGTGAGGCACAATGTCCACGATTTGGCTAAGTTAACATTTATTAACTAGTAACTATTAACTGTAACAAATAACCGTAAGAATAACTGTAACTGCGGTAACCGCAATAGCCGTTACTGTTGCGAGTCGGCTGGCAGGCACGAGCAATAACCGACGCGGTCTGACAGCTTGCTTTTATATGGCTCTCTGTCAGACTGCTCAGCCAATGAGAATGGACTTCAGTTCCTGCTCAGCTCAGCCGAACGTAACACCTTTCATTTCATTTTACATCCTTGCAGTCTTGAATGAAAAGGCAACATATAAACTTAATAATCCTTATTTTTTAAAGTGAGTGGCTCCATACAGATGCAGCTCTTAAGGATTGGAGAAAAAAAAATTCTTTCAAAGTGGGACAAGACTGTATAGTCAATAAACAATTACATTTCAGTGCTGAAAAATCGAGAGTCTATAATACCCCAACTAGAAGATCCCAGAAAACCTGAGCTAATGAATGTTAAGAATTATTCATTTGGTTTCAATTAATCTGTTTCTACTAAATTGCAATTTATATCACTGAATTTATAAAGAAAAGATATACCAATTAAATAATATTTGATATTGAAAGTGGTCTAGCAGGCACTTGACTATAAATGATGTTATAATCAACTTGCCAACGAACAAAGGATTAACTCTACAAACACAATCAGGGACTCATAAAACAAAAGATTAATAGGACTTTTTTTTTTAAAATGGAAAAAGACATTTCTTGTTTGTTAAGAGTGAAATATCATTCATTGTTATTCTCAGGAACCACAGCTCCACACCCCAATCTTCTCCTAAACATTTTAAGCATTTTAATATCCTTCCTGCATTAAAATATCTAGGAAGCATTAAATAAATATCAATTCTGTATCACTTACTCAGATGTCGGAAGTGGATCTTCTAAGAAATAAGGATCCTGCATAGCCTGTTCTGAGGTAATTCTCTTTATTGGGTCCATAGTAAGCAATTTCTGTAGCTAAGTACAATTAAAACAGAAGATCTTCACTGTTGTCAAACCCAGAAAATATTCCACCACTCTGTGGATATATGAAACTTCCTTACATGCATCTTCAGAATCAACAAGCCATTGCTCCCATCCCATATACCTTGCATACAAGAAGGTCCTAATTTCAGTCCCCAAGATCTGCCTGAAACCCAGGACAGCCATGGTAAATCAACCAATAATATGGATTTTTTCATTCCCCTCCCCATCTGAAGGTAAACAGAACCAATATTTGTTATTGAGGAGAAAAGCTTGTCTCCAGTTGTTTACAGATAAAATTTGGACCTAGCATAACTGATTGCTTGTTGTAACGTAAAAACGGACAGAGATACAGTAGTTAAAATTTACATTTGAAAATTTCATTCTCACTGCTTTTTTTTTTTTTTTTTTGTATAATCTCCTCACACCAATACTTGCAAATAATTATATTGATGAAAAATGTATTAGGGGCACTTCAGATTACTTTTCTAAGGCTTCTATCACTTTGAAGTTGAAAGCAAATGCATTTAACTCTATAATAAATGCTCTTCTGCAGATGTAATGAAAAGCATTTTAAACATCTCATATGATTGTTTTTGGAAATTGTCGGAATTTATTCCTCAGTGATCTGTTATGAACTTACCAAATGGAATGCTTTACTATCCGGCTTAACTTTATGTTTTTCCATATATTTTATAAGGCTGCAGTTGGTATATCTGAAAGAAAATACTGGTTCATAATAATCCTGACATTAAACTGAAGATAAAATTTGTATAAAGGGGTGTTATAGAATTAGCAGAGCTGGCCTCATTCAGTTTAATTGCTATGATCAGTTTATCTGTATTTCAAAATGATGCCAGAGCTCTGTGGAAAAAGCCCGAAGATGCACATTCCTTTATATGTGCCACACGGAAATGGCTTCCCATATCACACAAAATAAACAAAAATGAAAAGTTGTTAGCAGTTATTTAGTATGTCTCTTGTACAAGATTATGTTCACATTTCTGAAAGTGAGGCATTTGATAATGGCTTCTAAAACCTATCAAAGCCAAATCTTTACATTTTATACCCGCAACCTAAAAAGTTTTACTTTTGTATGCAACAATTAATGTCTTATTAAATCAAAATAGTTTCAAAGTTATAGAGATAGTTGGCTAAGCAGATGTTACTCTGATTTGTGGGCCAAGCAAGAATTATTTCCTTTCTGATTTTTTGATGGGGCTTAGTATCCAGACCTGTGTGTCTCACTCAACATTTACAACTTTAAGATGGGTTGACTTCAACACCCAGAATTTTCCAGCCTATTCTTCCTGCTTTCCTGTCCCCACTGTTATTCTGTTTGCTTTGCACTGGGCTTCTATAGAAGCTATACAGCTATACAGATCTCAATACTATTGTTTACAAAGTACACATTTGTCTCCAGTTTTGTTTTGTTTTTTGGCTTTTCAATAATAACAGAAACCATCTCTGTTTTAGTATCAAGGGGAAGACCAATCATCAGAGGGTAGAAAATAAAGTTTGCCAGAAAATCAATTTAATGAGTGTGCAAATTCATGAAGTTGTAGCATTATCAAAATTTCTCAGATCTTCACAAAACTTACGTATTTCTTCTGAAATCTTTCATTAAAGTTGAATGTTCAGGCATCTTTTTAATATCTTCCCAATCTTTATCTATGAAATGAATATCAGTATAATTTCATCTTTCTTAATACAGAGCTAGGATACCATCACTTAAGCACTGAAAATTGTCATCTTCTCTTTCCTCTTCAAATGCATAGCTTTGCTTTCTTAAGTTTTCACACTAGGTAGCCACTCTCTTTTCATAGTTTTTATTAACACAAGAACATGAATCTTCTTTTGTTACTTATTTGCATTGCATATTTTGCCTTATTAAAAAAGCATTAAGTACTGTACAGTAAACAAACAATATACAGGTAGTCCTAGACTTAAAACAGTTCATTTAGTGACCGTTCAAAGTAACAATGGCACTGAAAAAAGTGACTTATGACCGTTTTTCCACAGTTACAACCTTCGCAGCATTCCCCATGATCGTGTGATCAAAATTCAGATGCTTGGCAACTGGCTCATATTTATGACTGTTGCTGTGTCCCAAGATCATGTGGGGAAGCTAGATTCACTTAACAACTGGGTTACTAACTTATCAACTGCAGTGATTCAGTTAACAACTGAGGCAAGAAAGGTGATAAAAAAGGGCAAAACTCACTTAACAAATGTCTCACTTAACAGCAGAAATTTTGGGCTCAATTGTTGTCATAAATTTAGGATTACTTGTAATCTGATATAATTTCCAAGTTTTGAACTGATTTAACATAAAACTTTAAAAACAAATGCATCAATTACCAATGACTTCATTAGCTTCTTGATCATTAGATTTTAAAGTTTAATTTGACTCCCAGGTTATATAATTTTGTAATATTAAAATTGACACATTTCCAAATGGTATTGATACTGGAGAGAAATGAATATATGGGAGACCAAATTTATCTCCCATCTAAATCACTGGATCTTTTTTTAAAATCCATTTTTGCTCTTTACTGATTTCTACCCTCCTTCCTTCTTAAAATTAAAAATAGCACTAATGGCTTTAGTTAATTGAACATGGTGAAATGCAATCAAGACCTTTTCTCTACTGCTGATGATAGATGAACTACATCATGATGAATTGGGGAACTAATGTGGTATTAGTTCCTGGATGTTGGGTGGCATGTACACTTAAACCTGAGCATTGACAAAATTTCTATCTCTCAATTAATTATTAAAAGCCACACTGTTTGGATCTACATATATAATATGCCAATCCATCAGGACATCCTAAGTTCTTTGGAAGAACACGATGCAAATGAAAGTCAACACCAGTAAACAAGGAGGAGCTGTGATTTCATTTTGTTGTACATATAATAGCAATATCTGTTTACTTTAGCATTGCTTTTTGTTTCATGTGTATTATTTGCAATGTATTAAAATATTCATAGTGGTCTTGCTTTAACCATTTGAATATTAAAAAATACATGCAATTTACATATATCAACAATAACAGAATATATACCTGCAGGAAATCCCATTACATTGAATATTCTGTCCAGCTGATCATGATGATACGGATTACTAGTTTTTATATCCTCTTGTCGGCAGTGGAATATTGGTTCTGATGTTAGCAGCTCTGCAAATATACACCCTATAGCCCAAATATCTTTACAAAAAAGGAGGGAGGAAAATCAAATAGGCATTTAAAAAAGAAGAAACAATGGTTTACAGATGTGCTCATGAAAAAATTATACTTCCAAGCATTTCCAACTAACATTTCAGTTGTTATGCTAATGTCAAAGATTCTCCTGAATTTTCATATCATCTATTACAATTCTAATTATAAACGAAGAATAAATGATTGCTCACCTAGCCAAGAACTAGTATGCTTGTAACCTGCAACTTATTATTGCATTATGTCACTTTGTCTTATGTTAAAATATTAAAGATTTCAAGAGAAAATTCTCAATTACAGCAAACATGTTACAACAAACATCTATAAAGAAGATGTTTCAAAATGCCATTTTTATAACTAGACTAGCTCGATACCCGTGCTTCGCTACGAAACTATGTGGTCGGGCCTAGTTTTTGGGGAGGAAAATAAGGAAAAATAATTCTGCCTCTGCCTACCAGCATTCATCGGTATTCATCTGGCTAGAGTCCTGTCAGTGTGTGAGAGAGTTGAGGGCTGTTTGGAAACTGAAACAGTATTTTCTGTATAAACAAAGAGGAGACAGCAAGGAGTCTGGGCGTGGCTTAGCTCAACTGTTCTGTACTAAAGCTGCTTGCTGTTGTGAAAGTAAAACTGAAATTAAAACTCCTCTCCTCTGCTTGTATTTTGCATTTGGAACAGATTTCTTTTCAAATGGGGAAGGGAGTAGAACTTCTTAGCATCAGAGCGTGTTAATAATAATATAGGAAATACTAATGCTCTGATGGTCATTCTGAAAAACCCTTTCTTAGTGAGCACCTAGAAGCCAAGAGGAACATATGGGCCAAATTTCAAGTTTGCAGGCTTTACGGTTCTGGAGATTTCATGATGACGCGTGAGGGTTATTTCGCTTTTATATATATAGATTCCCATGACTTGAAACTTCAATAAAGTATCAAAAATTGAACAATTCCTAAAGATTTCAAAACTTGCATTTAAATATTATGGCTATAACTAATACAATACTACTACTGTATTTACAAATTCTCAAAATTGGTCCAGGAAGTGTTCAATCTTTGTAACTGATAGCAATATGGGGAAAAAGATGTATTATTCCAAATATCATTCATTCATACAATTAGGTATAATTCATTACTACGCAAAATTGAACTGACTGGGGATAATTGCAAGCTTGACAAGATTTTATTTTTTAAAATAAATATCTTTAGAAAACTTAGCAATCATAGGATAAGAGATCTAATTATGGCTCAAGAGCAGGGGTGGGATTCACATTTTTTAACAACAGGTTCTGTGGAAGTGTGGCTTGGTGGTCATGTGACTGGGTGGGTCTGGCTAGGTGGTCATGTGACTGGGTGGGTCAAAAGAGAGAAACTCACTTTAACAATGCTCTTGGAGCAGGGGGTTGGACTAGATGACCTCCGATGTCCCTTCCAGATTGCTGTGCTGTTTCAAATCATCCTCTGAAGTGCCAGGGTTTGTGGTCCTTCCTTCCTCTCCTTTTTCTCTCCCTCCCTCCCACCCTCCATCCATTCATCTATATCTCATTCACTTTCCCTTCCCTCTTTCCCCCCCCTCCCTCTTTTTCTTTCTTTCTTCTCTTCCCTCCCTTTCTTTCTCCCTTCCCTCCTTCTTTCTTCCCTCACTCCTTCTTTCTCCCTTCCTTCCTCCCCTCCCTCCCTTTCTTTCTCCCTTCCCTCCCTCTTTCTTTCTCTTTTTTTCTTCACACCCCCTCCCGCACCCCGTTTTGGGCCTAACAACCCTCCCTGGAGCCTCAGGAGAGCCAAAATGGGGCCTGGGGATGTGCCACATCCCCCTGTGCTTCGTTTTGGGCCTAGGATGCCTCCCTGCACTTACCTGGGAGCCACAATCAGGTGTGTGGGGACCACTTGGAGGGGCGGGGTGGGGCAGGGCCAGCTGTTCTTCAGAACTACTGGTTCACCAAGCTGGATGTAAAATTAACACCTGGTTTACGCAAACTGGCTCAAACCAGCTGAATCCTATCCCTGCTTAATTGGCTATGGCTGAGAGCATAAGTATGACGATTCTCACAGACATGGCAATGAGCAATGCTCAACTTTAAGGATTTACAATGCTGTTTCTGTTCGTAAATAGGGTTTCCAGAGGTCATCAGATTATTCAGGACAGAAACAAGTCTAGTGAGAACTAGTGTATTTGTGAGTTTGATTTTAGATAGTCATGAAAAGAGATGAAGTCAACATAATCAAAAGTTCTATCCAGGGAAAGGAAGTATTTTCCCTTTTCTTTTGTAATATCAGCAATTATGATTTTGTAAGTTGCCCAGAGTCATCTGGAGGTTAAAAAATATAATAAAATAAAACAAAAAATAAATGGTCATTCAATGAAATTATTAAAATCTATAGAACAAATGTATTTTACATAATACTTTGTAAGTCATTCTATCAGAGACTTTAGGCATAAACTAAATTTAGATTAGGGGTGTCAAACTGCCTGCGGCCCAGATGCATCACATGCAGGCCACACCCACCCCAGCTCCACGAAGGGGGAAAACATCACAATACATCACATGTCAGCAATGTGATGTCGGGAGTTTGACACCTGTGATTTAGATGAAAGAGATAAAGTTGATGGAGAATTTAGAAAGGCTTGGTAATAGGATTTTTTTTTGTAATAATGAAATTAAAACTAAATATATTAGTTTAGGTCTAGTAATCAAGGCTATAAGAATCATCAAATCATTGGTTCCAGACATGTGCAAGGTGAATGATTGGAGTAAGGGTGTTTTTGCCTTCATTATTCCCAATGAAGTAAGTTTTACTTGCATTTGAGGGAACATACTAGTATTGTTTAGAAAATCTGAGGAACCTAAACATCAGCATCCAGTCTCTGCGGATTTGAATCACTTTGTTCTTAAATCTGGATTCAAAGCTAACAAATTCCTGTCCTTGTTCTACAACACAAATCAATTTTAGTGCTAAATGTTAGAGACATTTATTATCAAAACATGAAACATATCAACTAATTAAATAGGGTTTTTTGCTAATTAATTGTGAAGAACATGTCTAGGCAATTGAAAGAAGTCTGTATAAGATGTGGCATACTCTTTCTATGCAAAAAAATAAGTAAGTCAGGCTTAAATAATACAATATTACTTAACAATGACAATTACATTACTTACCAATAGCTTTGGTATAATGTCTTGCTCCAAGCAGTAATTCTGGAGCTCGATACCAGAATGTAACAACTACTGGATCCAAATCTGCTAAAGGCTTCAAAGGTGAATTAAATAGTCGGGCAAAGCCCATGTCAGCTGTAAAATGAGGAGGGAAATTGAATTTTAACATATATGTTGCTTAATACAAACTGATTTGAGTTCAAATAGGCAGAAATCCTGTATAATTTAACTTTTAAACATATTGAACTTGTTTCAAAAGAAGTGTACAGAGCGTGTTGCATGATTAAAACAAGCTAATATGAAAACTTGGTCATGCAGGATGTCCCCCATATTCTGATCAGTCCTTGGAAAGTTTGGAAATCTGGAACTGAATCACTTGAAAATGGCAAGAATATTTTAATGCATATAAAAATATTGATGCATGTTAAGATGTTAAATATTTCTAATACCAAATTAGTAATCTGACAGAAACAGTTCAATTTGTAGCAACCAAGGCAATAAAGCAACTAGCAAATTAATAGAACCTACTATTCAAAGGTAGCAGGATTCTTCTTAAGCTAGGAAAATAACACATCTGAATTCCTGGTGTGTTCACTTAGCTACCTAATTCTTCTCTACTTTGGTGGATTTAAAATAAGTGATGCTTGCAAGTATTTAAACAGCAACAGATTAGTAAAATACTGTATATTACTTGCATAATAAAACTACTGCTGCGGCTAAGTGCAAAACTAATGCATTTTTCAGTAGAAATTCCAATAGAGCTGAGAATCTGAGGTTGCAATTATAGGGCACGCAACAAAGGTTTTTTTAAAAATACGAAACCTAAGTATGTTTCAGGAGCAAGGTACCAGATATTTGGATATTCATTTGAAAAAATCCCATTCATTTGCTCTACAATATTAAGACTTCTTTAACTATATGGAACCCTATTTAAACTTTTGTTACATTTCATTTTAAAAAAATTAATTTTATTCTGCATTAGACAACAAACATTTAGCTGTTGAAAAAAATGAATGTTAATGTTGGCTGCATAGAAAATGGGGAGGAAGGGAAGGATAGTGTCAGAATATAAATATCTGAATTTTTAAAAAAAAATTTAAACAGGAAAAGACCAACATGATTATTGTTTATGAATCATCAGCTTTATCACACTTTTGAAAGGCAAACTTCCTATTAATGGCATTGGATGGCTTAACTGAATTGGAAGAAATGCTCTTTCAAATCCAAAACTAATGTGTAACTGTTTGGGGGAGCAATCATTTTTTTCAGAATTTTGTAATTAGTTCATGTTTGCAAGAAAAGTAGGTGTCAATTTTCAAATAATAGGTGATAGGTTACCTGTATCACAAGAAACATCACTGCAATTAACACTAAAAGTGCAATCTGTCCTCTGCTATTAGACCATCATGTTTCACTGACAAGAGGACTTAAATCTGTTAGTGTTAGTATAATTATTTATTTACAGGTCTAAGTGATGGAGTGTTCAATATTGGTCTAATTCTATTTCTTTCTAACTGAAACATACATTAGTTTCAGACAGGAGCAGCTATTTTAATAGACTGCTGTTCAACAGTCTCATCTAATTGAGATTGTGTTAATTGCATGTAAATTCATCTTAGAAAAGGAATTTAGAGAAAGGAAAATTAAGTATATTTAAACGTTCTGCAGTAATATCTGGATGTATCTGCTTAAAGATTCAGGATGCACATTAAGCATTTGCTGGTGCATATGTCCCTCAGGACACTGACGTGCAGTCAAAATATGTTTGGTTATTGTGAGCTTTACTATTATACTATATGTTTTAATATTTTAAAAGAACTATCTAAATAAAATATAGAATTTCTATATTACAAAAAGTAGTTCAACCAGAAATAAAAATCATACAATTTTCACAGCTTTTTCCTATTAAAAACATAGTTTTTCCTTTGCTTCCTATGATTGAGGAATTATCAATACTTTTCCAATTATGACTGTTAAATTTACTATTAAATGTTAGCATCACTGAGGAAAATTACAACATTTTTAATGAAAGCAGGGCCCAATTTAGGTTCTCCCAGCCTACAACCTGCTCTAACACTGTCCAACACGAACATATGTTATCTCTATTTGATTTGTGATCCAGTAGATTTTAACAATAAGTATTGACCTATGCACTGTTAGAACATTCTGTCTTAAATGCTACACTGGACTTATCAAAGATATAAACATACCAATTTTTACTCTTCCTCGCTCAGGACCTTCACCCATAACTAAAATATTAGCAGGTTTCTGTGGAAAAAAAATAAATACACAATACATATACCAAAGTAAACCTAAACATTTGTGGCTGAAATTAGCTTTACTTTCCAATTATAAATCAAAATGCAGTGGAATGTTAAAAGTGATAATGCCTGTACATTATTAGTTTGTTGTAAGACTACATAAGCAGCCAAATAATTTCCTTGACAATTTTTTTACCTCTTTCAAGTATCCTCACAATGGCTCCTCAGATGGGTAGCTATGTTCCAGAACACAGAGAAAAATGTGTTGTTTCTCCTGCCTCTCTAACTTCCAACATTAGCCAAATACAGAAAAGCAATGAACATTTCCTCCCAGTTAAATATAACTGTACAATATTTTATATAGAACTATATATTATTCTAAAATTAAACTCTCTAATATTTCATTTTTAGAAATACGGGTGCTAGTTTGGATTTTAAAGGCTTATTTCATGGACTTCGTTTTTCTTCTATTATTTTTTAGTTTCATCCATTTGCCCAATATATTTTATTTGACAGTATTTTTAGAAATTCTTGTAAACAACTTGTGCAATTGCTTTTAAAGTATTACAGAGCTATGCCAATATTAAATTGCTATTTCCTTATTAAAATGTTGCTAAACCTATAAAAACCAATAATAATAATTGGATTATATTGATCCTAATGTTGTATATTTGGTTCAGATTTTTATCTCTGAAATCAGTTTAAAGAAATGATTATTGTTCATTCAAGTAATCTGCCAGGAAAAGACACAACACTAATATTTCAGCATGCATGAATATTGAGGTAGCTATATGGCAGTATATGAATTTTAAGATCCATATTAACAATTAAATGTTTACAAAAATATGACAATAACATTATCTTTGACAGGGAAAGGTATACAACTGATTTGAAAAGGGTTATTTATGACTGCATAATTATGCAGATATTCAAAGAAAGCTGTAGATTTGTGCTCATATCTATTGTGATGGTAATTATCACAAGAGACTATTAGGCTATGTAGCTCTAATAGTGACTGATATAAAAAAAAATCAAAGAATATGTAGAATTGCTATATTGCCTTTCTACTTCAGTGAGGAAATAACAGGTCTTTGGTACTCCCTGAACCTGATGGTTTTCTTGCAGATGTTTCATTATTCAAATTAGGTAACATCATCAATGCTGCCGGTAGTAATACTAGCATTGATGAACCCATCTGTAAGAAAACCACCAGCCTAAGAGAGCATCAAGGATCCCAAACAAACTCCCAGCTACAAATATTCTTCTTTATAACTAACATACCTTTTTATAAGGATAAAAATATCTAAAGGTAAAATATTAAAGTTTAAAGGCTTTACTTTTTAAAGTTGGAATATTGGTGTCTACCATTGTCATCGTACCAATCTTATGATACGATTATTTTCATATGTTGGAAAATTCTTTTGAATTGGTCATACTATTTCTGTGCATAATTTTCATCAAGTTCATAGAAGTGGATTTTCCTTCCATTTTAAAAATAGAGAAAACAACTGATATAAACCTTCTGAGTTAAGCATAAAAACCACAAAAGAGTTTGTGATATCTAACGTGACTATTCCATATGCTTTCAGATGCACGCATAAACTTTCTGTCAGATTTATTTAATCACCAAAAGTAAAGCTGGATGAGGAAAAATCATAAACAGTGAGAATTATAAACAAATGAAATACAAATGGAAGTCTCAGTTATTTATTACCGGTAATCATTCACAGAACAATGGCAAAACTGATTTACATATGTCATGAACAAGACTGCTATTTTTGCCGTCTGAAAACTTTTGTTCCTTTAAATTTATATATTTACAAGCAACAAAATTACATTGCTATATATCAAAAGGGATTTTGAGGCATTAATGAAAATGGTCCTAAAATACTTCCTAACAAGATATTCTGAAAGTTTTCATAAATTTGAATACAGTAGTACAAAAAGTTTAGTGTAGATTAGAAATGAATAATCCTGAAAAAAATGTCAGAGCTTCACTGGCAAATTATTTAATACTTAATTGTTTATACAGATATATTTTCTTCCACAACCCCAAACTCAAATGACATTGATTGTACATGTTGTGTCACAAATAGACAATGAAAGAATTAGGGGTTATCTTTAGCAATAATTCAACAATATTGCACTGAACGTTACACCATATTCAAAGATATGATATTATTCAGATGATTAATTTCTCCCTTCAGGAATAACACAGTTAATTTTATTTTATTTTCAAAGTCTCCACTTTTAATAATTTCTTCTGCATAGCATACACATAATTTCTAATTTTCTTTGCTATTCAGTTTTATCATAGGTAACAGATAGGTTTGCTCCAGTATTTATATAGGTTGTTATCTATAATGCCTGGTTTTTTTCTGCATAAAAAAGCAAAACCATGCAAAGACAAATAGAAAGAAAGCCTGCAAAGCAATATTTCATTTTACAAGCAGACTTACATAAAATCTAAATTTATATATAGTTCTATGAAACCACACAGATTATGCTTACAGCTATTTTCAAGCAAAACTCATTAACTAATTGAAAGCAAACCCTGGATTCAATGCAAAGCAAAATAAACATAAAAACATAAAATGTAAATACAGATCACCCTCTGTGTCTTGGATGCCAAACAAAACATCAGGAAAAAAGACATGTAAGGAACTATGTAAGGAACCATCATACTACTTCCTTTACATCCTATGTTTCTGTCCAGATTATGAATGACTTCTGAGATATGCATTTACTATTTATCATAACTTGATTAAATATTGTCTGTTACTCTCCTGCTTAAATATCATTGTGTCCTTACTTTTAATTTATTTTATGTAAGCCTATTTTACTTAGTTGCAAGAAATATGACATAAAAACATAATGCCCTTATCATGGCCACAGCTCTCTTAAAGGTAATCCAGATGCCTATGAGGGTTGAGACACAAAATGAATGTTCAGATTTCTGTGAAAATATATTAGGCATTTGATGGATAAAATAACTTGGATTATTTGATGTTGGATTCTTCCTGGGCAATTTCTATAGAGTTGACTGAGGAAAACTTGCCTACTCTCCAGAAGAAGATGGAACCTATGAGTCTTGAAGAAATGGAGAGGATCCTCAGAGATTTATTCTAGCTGGGCATGGACGGGAGAACGGTAGAGCGTGTCATCAGCTTCAAGTTCCTGGGGATCCACCTCTCTGAGGATCTGTCCTGGCAGATCAACACCACCAGCCTGATCAAGAAAACTCACCAACGTATCTTCTTTCTGAGATTACTAAGGAAGAACCACCTTTCCCCAACTATTCTGATCAAATTCTACCGCTGTGCAGTCGAGAGCATCCTAACCAGCTGTATTTCAGACTGGTATGGAAATTGCACCATTAAAGAAAGGAAGGCATTACAGGGGGTGGTGCAAACCGCCCAACGCATTATAGGGATCCCACTTCCTGCTATTGTGGACATTCAGAGGAAACGATGTCTGCAAAAAGCCCACAGCATCGTTAAAGACTCCTCCCATCCAGCCCATAAACCGTTTACCCTTCTTCCATCTGGAAGGAGGTTCAGGTGCCTGCAATCTAAGACCAGCAGGCTAAGGAACAGCTTCTACCATACAGCGGTCTCCTTATTGAATTCCTCAACTCGTCTATTCCCCCACACACACTGATACTTTCTCTGATAATATATATCTTGTATAAACTCTCTGTGCATTATACTTATATTCAATATGTTCATAAACACTCTGTACAGTCGTATATATTCCTTCCATAAACATATATTCTGTATATTCATAGATATTCTGTATATCCATATATAGTTACATATTTTGTCTATCTGTATATATATATTTATACTTCATTGTTGTTTTGCACTTCTGGTTAGATGCTAACTACATTTAGTTGCATTCATGTGCAATGACAATAAAGTTGAATCTAATCTAATCTAATCTCCAAGAAAGTGATCAAGAACTGAATTCAAAGGGTGATTTAGTTTATCCTTGAGTGATGGTGTTGCCATGCCATGCCTGCCTTGAAGGAGACAGTGGTAAGTCCCGATTGCTAGATTTCAAACTGTTAACCTATGTACAAGGTTAAAATGAAGCTTGTGTTGAAGGAAATAGTACAGCAATTTTAAAGGGACTTGGAGAAAATAGATAGCTCTTTCAGTAGAGTAATAAAATATTGAATATGTTTCTAGATGAACTTTGGACAGAGCAAGATTGGATCTGATTCTCCTGGTCCTACTTGATTTCTAAGAAGAATTCAATATCACCAATAAAGTAGGCCTTCTGGGCAGCCTATGGGGACTGGGAATGAGAGCACTGTACTGTACCAGTTCTCTTCCTTCTTCTGAAGTGATTTCCAGTTAATGTAGGTAGGTAGAAAGAGATTTAGCCTAAGGCCTTTGCTATTCAGGGTTTCAGTTTGATGTCAACATTAGGTTGCTGAGTGAGAACATCCACCAGCATAGGTTAAGGTATTATCACTATGCAGATGACACTGAGTTATATATCCAATCTCCTAAATGAATGGGCAATGCTGCATAGCTCCTATCTATTGATGTTAAGTATACGGATGGAAAGGAACAAGCTTAGGTTCAGGCCTACAAAGAGTGAGTGGTTTGCTCTCAAAGTCTAAGGGATTCACCATCTTGAATCCTTGATGGGCTTGCATTTTCTCAGGTGGCACTCTGAGACTCCCACTTAATGAACAGATGGCAGCCATAGTCATGAGGATCTTTACACAAATCCATCTTGCATTCCAATGACAACCTTTCCTGGACTGGGAGATCCTCATAATCATTCATATCTTAATAGCTACCAGTTTGGAAACTGCAATATATTACCTTTGATAATCACTTGGAAATTTCAACTGAACTAGAATGCAGTTGTATAAATAACTATAGGCATTCCACTTTTTGTCCATGTAGCATCTCTGCTCTTGTGCACAGCACCAGGTTACCACAGGGCTTCAAGATGCAATTCAAGATGTTGATGATTACCAATGAAGTATTTCATAGTTTAGGATCTGGTTACCTATGGGACTGCATTTCCCTTGACATTTTTGCCTTACCAATAAGATCTGGTAGAATTGTACAGCAGTCACCTCATGGGATTTAGGAAAAGCACCTTCTTTTTAGCTACAGCTAAAACAGCATTCCCTAAGGCCCATATGGCTACACCCCTGCTGTGCTTTTCTAAAGTTGATTAAGCAGGCTTGACATGATCCACTCCCTGATAGCATATCTTGATTTTATGACTGTGAATAACATCATTTCCCTTATGTGCTGAGGAACAGAATTGGAAGTGTGTGCAAAGGTTCTACCTACAACTGTCTAGGAGGACCTCCAGATTGTGCACTGGGATACTGCTGTCCCATCCAGAACTAGAGATGGAAGAACCTTGTCTCTGGAAGGTCCAAATATCCACAGCCATTCCATCTGGCTAGGGCTGAGTCAGAGCCCATTTTGCCCCATCCAGGCCTGAACAGCTCTAGATACTGGGATAGAACATCCACAGCATCACTCAAGGGCCTGGAGTAGAGGTATAAAGCTGGGTGGAATCCACATATTGATATCTCCTCACAAATTGATGAAACATCTCACCCAGTGACTTCAGCTAGATATTAAATAGGAGAGGAGAGAGAACCAAGCCCTGAGCATGGGGCCATGGGGTTGAGAATGAGAGAGTGGAACGTGCCCCAGAAATAAGATATCTTTGGCTCAATCCCTATGAGTGGTCTCTCTCCCAACTCCCATCGTATTTTTCTCTACTTGTCATTACCTTGATTTTATGGTTTGCTTCCATCCCTTCAGAGCCTTCCTCATTCACCCTTCCATTGCAATCCATGCCCCCACCTCTGACTTCCACCTCTCATCTATAAACCAAATGAGGCCTTGCTGCCTAAGGTGCTTCTGCCTAGCAAATAGTAACAACAATCAAGAATCCACTTCATCTTCTAATTACAATCACATATTGCTCAATGAGTCTTTTCTCACTGGACTGTAGCTCATTCAAACCTGCACACACACACACACACACCATACATACACACTATACATATACCATTCATGGCTCTCACATGTGAAGAAAGACTGTTTCATCCTCTAAATCCTTCAACTAGACGTTAACAATCCAGTATCTTCTTACAGAATCCCTTTATTCTCCTCAGCTATTGACATAGACTATGCAGAGATGTCTATCCTAATGTAGTCTATCCAAATGTATTCAACGATTGACTGGTGGGGAGGAGCTGCAGCTACAGGACCCTGGTACCAGTCCAGTCCTCTCCTGTGTCCACCACAACAAAACCTGTCCCTAATTATTCTAACAGGTAGGCCATTTATGTTTCACTTCAGTAGATTTATCCATTCTAAAGTTTATCTTTTTAGGAAGATTAGCCTGTTGGATATTAGCTTGAAAAGTATTAAATCTGCAGTTGCGGGACTATATCATAATGAAGTCTGCAAGTCCTCCTGCAGCTGCCCAGGTGTAATCTGAGCTTATCTCCAAGCATATTGATAAATAAGAGAACCAGTGTTGATAATATAGCTTTTCCTGCCTTGATTCAATATTTGCCAAACACAATGGAGGTGCCTAGATGAACTGTGGCTGCCAATCCATTTCACAACAGTCCAACATCCTTAAGTAGCACAGTTTGCTAATCTACACTACGTTCAGAATTGATTTACAAGATTCTAATAAATTCTTCCATTATTCAATTGGGGTTGACAGTAACTGCAGGGTTGACAGTAACTGCACAAGCAAAATTATTGAAAGAAATAGTTTCTCCTTTCCATACTATTTGAACATAAAGTTCAAAACAAAAGGTAGAACAAAAATGTAGGCTTTGGGGTTTGAAAGCAACTTTGAATGAATTCCAAGAAGAGTCTGCCAAAAGCTCTTCATATAAGTCGGGTATTTTATTTATCAGCTATTATTTATATGCCACTGAGTTGCACAACACTATATGCCCTACAAGGTGCAAGAATAACCCAATTATAAAAATCAGTATAAGTATTTATCTTCAGCTACGAATTTCCTTCACTGGAAAAGGACTATTTTAACCCTCTTCTGAAAGAATAAAACAGCAGGACCTAACATGATCTCAGCAGTATAGCTGTTAAGGAATGAGGAGGCTGGCAATAAGAATACCCTTTGCTCATCTTAGGTAGGTACTCGCAGCATCCTTTTTTGACTAAATTAGTGTTTCTTAGCCTTGATAGCTTTAAGATGTGTGGACTTTCATTTCCCTATTTCCTAGGATAGCATGCTGGCTGGGGAATTCTGAGAGTTGAAGTGCACAAATCTTAAAAGTTGTCAAGATTGAAAAACACTGGTCTAGATTGCGTACAGCAGGCATATTCTGGACAAGTTAGTCCCAAAAATAAGCATTTTTTCCCTTTAACTTCATAAGAGTTGTTTAGCAAACCTGGTTTTTAGAACATTTGTTTTACTTAAAACATTTTTCATAGTGTTATTCTAAACATTTCTACAAACATGTATGAAGGTCATTCATACATGTGCACTGTCTGGAATTCAATGGGCAAGTATGTTGTCCTAGACTAATGCTCATTGTACTGAAAGAAACCATAAAGAAATGAGTTGCAATGTGAAAGTGATTTGCAGCAAAGGGAGAGCAAGTATTTTTGGAATCAAGGTTGATTTCTGGTAACTACACAGATATTTTCAGATATTTTCAATACTGAAGTGGATTTGCATCAATTTTCTTCAACCCAGCCTGCAGCCCTGGGATTTTCTGGTTTCTACTACCCAAATACTAAGAAGCTCTGACTATTTAAGTGTATGGTTTTCTTTAAAAATCAGATTAGATGCTGCACTTGCTGACAATTTGTGCCGGATCCAGGCAAGAACATTTCTGTCATACAAAAAAATAAATCTAAATACCCCAAGATGCACTGATGATCATTAATTCAGACAGAAAGCAAAGGATGGGCACCATACAAATGGCTATTGAGCCCTGGTTCTAATTAAGTAATGCCAAAAGCAAAAATGAAAATTACTACGCTCCAACTGCTAGAATGCTCTGCCAGCACAGTCTCAATACATCTGGAGAATCTGGTAGGGAAAGCCCAGACAGATTTTTGGACTAATCCAATAAGGCAACATGTATGTTCTTAAGAGCATTCACAGAAAATAAAGAAATGTTATTTAAATAATTGACAAGTCAAATATGCAAGTTATACTGAATATGGACCTACTCCTTACCTAGTAGCTTTTATGTTGTTTTTTAAAGAAAGAATGCAAAAGCAGCTATGCTGTTTCTCTTGCCAAATATTTAAAAAAAGACATATGAAATAAAAACACCTATTCAAATAGACATTTTCCTGCTAAGTTAAACTTGAAAACAAACTATGAATACTTTATACCTAATATATTGTGCAAAACATTACCACTAGATAAAAGCCTTATATCTATTTCTAATCCCCACTGTAGATCTACTTACCAAATCCCTGTGTAATACCCAGTTAGCATGTAGATAATGAATGCCATCTAAGATCTGATATAATAGAGATTTCACCATTCCTCGAGGTAACTGAACTGGCTTCTTGTTTGCCTTAGAAGCTCTGTGAAATTTTATTATGTGCTAAAAAAAAGCAAACATAATTAATCAGCATGAATGGAAAGTTTGATACAATGTTTCATTATAGCAAAAATGTCTACTGTATTCATTACTGAGTTGGTATTTCTGATATTAGAACAAGAATTACATATATCACTTTATAAGGGTTAAAGCATCTTCCTTTTCATTTAATTTTGTACTCAACAGCTGAATTTTGATCTTAGATTTTATATCTATTTTTGCAATCTATATCTATCTCTCTCTGTTACATTACAAACTATAAGCTTTCCAACACTACTTTCAAAGAAAGTTTCTAGATTTGTACTTCCTTATGCACATCTAGAAGATATGGCTATAATTACATTAAATAACAAAAAACAACAACTACACTAAGGTCAGATTAAAAAACAACTATACTAAGGTCAGATTAAAATGATTTATTTCATACGATGACATATGTTCAATATTTTTCAATATTGGTATAAATCTATTTCTTATGGATCTACAACCATTTCTCTACCAGAAGATTAGGATATTGCTATGGCCATGTAATGTACTTGATGAAGCTCTTTTGCCTTTCATAGCATGTCTAAAAGTCTGAAATATTTTAAGCATTTTATTTCCCTTTTTTATCTCCCTCCCACAAAAGAGCTGTCATTTATTGTATCCATCCTGTGTTCATTTAAGGAAGAAAAAATATTTTCTTATCTGCTACATTGCCGAGCAAACAGAAGTGTCTCTTAAAAAAATCTTGTGAAATCTTTAAATATTTTAGGGGGGGGGGGGAGAGAGGGAGAGAGAGGGAGAAAGAGAGAGAGAGAGAGACAGAGAGAGAGAATGAGAATGAGAATGAGAATGAGAATATTTGCAGTAAATATTGCAATGAATGGCAACAGGGAAAATTGTTTTGAACTTCTAGCCACTATTTATTATGTATTATGTATTATGTATTTTCAAGTCTCATCATGGGGAGGTGTCCATGACAGGGTTGTAACTGCAGATTGAAGCTCTATCACTTAGTACACAGGTGTCAAACTCGATCGTGTCATGTGACATATCGTGATGGTTTTTGCCTTTGCAGAGCCAGGGTGGGCGTGGCCTGCATATGACCCGTGGGCTGCCAGTTTGATGATACCCCTGATTTATTAGGACAAGCAATACTGATGAACACACAAAGAAACAGGACTTCCAATTTGTAGCTTCGCTTGCCATTTTATTGGCTAATCCACAAGCATTCTTACCCAAAGGTCATGTTCTGCATAGTCAAAAAGGAGCCATACTTTTCTGTCAGCATGAGACAGAAACACCTTTTGCAGAGAAATTACATTTGGATGCTTGAGTTCCCGCAACAGCTGTAAAACAAATACCATACACTAGAAAGATGTACAAATCAAAAATACAAACTGACAATTCTTTTTGTAACTTTAAAACAAGCTTGTTTTTCAGGCTTAATCTGAAATCTTTTAATTCACCAAGGACAAAAAAAGCAGTGTGGGATTCCTTTTAATTAAGGAATTCCTATCAGGTTTTTAAATTAGACTAACAGCTGGGTCAAACATACCTCCCTTAGGATGCAGATAACACTAGTTAAATTTGAACTGAAGGGAATTTCCACAATTTAAAAAATGATGCAACTTTAACCCAAAACTAAATGACATATAAATAACCAAATATACTTTGAATGCCTGGATCTTTTATGACTTTTTAAATTATGCATGTTAGTCATAGAACTGTAATTCAAGAATCTGACAAAATGCTCAGTATATATATTTTTAAATTAATCTGTCAATACACAGATGAAGATATGCAAAGTGGCTTATTTTCTATATCACAAGTCATGCTTTACAATTATTCTTTTGTACAATTGTCGATATTTATCTCTACATCTGACAAATCGATTTGTTCCTTATAAAAATGGACTTACAAAAATAGTAACTTTAAGCTAAAAGGTTTAAGATTACTACTGAATGCTTCGTAATTGAAAAGCCAGAAGTAGCACATTTTTAAAAAGTCGCTTTTGAAAAGCAGCCCTGTAAGAAAATAGGTACATTTCATAAATATTATTTTAAAATAATGGCAACATAGTGACCTGAACAGTCTCAAAAAAGCCTTTTATTGTTTATACACTAAAAGCCCATCCCTTCACTTATTCTTTGTTCAGTGGTAAAGACATATTTACAGATAAAGCTCTGTTTACTTTTTTTTCTTTGTTCTTATTTTGTTCTGTAACTAAGGCAAAACAAAGTAGGGCACTTTACAAACAGAAAATTGTGTAACAGTATTATTCCTTCTATTATACTTGTGATCCTGTTCACATCATCTAACTACTATTCAAAGGTAATCTAAACAAACAGAGGGATGATGATAAAGTACCACCATAATTAACAGATCTTAAACATGCAGATGAAGATATTTCACATAATACAATTTTAATTTTAACTCAAGCAAAGGTATCTTACATTAATTAAATTCATAATCCGTTTGCCCTGATTAATACAGTTTATTACCACATTTACCATCTATATATGTAATTGACTCCATATTGATATTGAGTTATAATATCAGTATTTTTTCCTAAGCTTATTTTGGAAATTGCTTAGATACAAACTGACTGTACTTTAATGACAATTTACCAATTACTATGGTTGTTACTACAAGTAATCCATGACTTATGACAACTGAACCCAAAACTTCTGTTGTTAAGTGAGACATTTGTTAAGTGAGTTTTGCCCCATTTTATGATCTTTCTTGCCTCAGTTGTTAAGTGAATCACTGCAGTTGATAAGTTAGCAACCTGGTTGTTAAGTCTATCTGGCTTTCCCATTGACTTTGCTTGACAGAAGGTTGCAAAAGGTGATCACATGACCTTGTGACACAGCAACGGCCATAAATATGAACCAGATGCCAAGCATCCAAATTTTGATCACATGATTATAAGGATGCTGCAAAGATCGCAACTGTGAAAAGTGGTCATAAGTCACTTTTTTCAGTGTAACTTTGAATGATCACTAAATGAACAGTTGTAAGTCGAGGACTTACTAAACTTACTAGAAGTAGCATTATGATCTACTTTAAACTGACTTTTTCCCCAAAAACAAGATGTACACTATCACAGTAACTGAATTTATGTTAATATGAACACTAATTTAGAACTGAAGCTACTTACAGCTATTTCTCTGCATGCAGACATAGAAATCCCAGTACCTTCAATTTGCTTCAAAGCATAGTCTTTATCATCTTTCCTGTGATAGGGAACAAAAAACAGTACAAAACTGCATTATAAATTCAAAAGAATTCTTATAAGCACCATTTAGGGTAACACACAGTCAAATGTTCAAAATTATTTACATTCAAGTAAAGGTTTGAAAAAGGTAAATGCTAGGTAAGTTATATTTTATATAATACATAGCCAAGATCCACATAGCTAGCTGGATTAGAGCATGACCTTTATATGGGACTATTTTATTTGCTGTGCATAAATATAAGTTGAATGTAACTGAATCTTTGATAATAAGTTGAGAGTGTCAACATTTGAGTATAAATTCCACAAAATAAGCGGCTTGAAAATTATTTTTAAATATGCTATCAACAACTAGAAATAAAAGTATAAGATACAAGCTAGACAAAACATATTACTAAATATATGTGTTTATGTATTTTCTTTGTATAAAACAATATATCTTCCAAATATATCAGAAATTGATATATCATCAGAATAGCTAAAATGTAAAGTTAAATATTTAACATGAATGCGTAAGACTATACAACCTATTTTTCCCATTTCAAAATATATGTGATCTGTCCAAAAGTGCCTTGACTGAATGGCTTAGAAATAAAAACAAAATTATAGATGAAAGACTGATTTTGAAAACAAAAGTATAAAAATTTTCTTCGCAAAGTAAATTTATTTTTCCCATTGTACAAACAACTTTTAAAAGTACAACCATTTAACTTGACATAATGTTACATGAAATGGCCAGGGAATGCAATGTAAAGGAAATTATCCGTCCATTTTGGGAGATTTGTATGCCCAATCCCATTTCTTTCCTACATGTTCTCTATGTACAACAGGGGTTCCCAACCACCAGTCTGTGGACAGGTCCTGGTCCGTGGCATGCCAAAAACTGGGCCGTGCAAACAAATGATCAGGCAGCACATGAAACTACATCCCCCCTCATTCACAGAAAAACCTCTCTCCACTGAAATGGTTCCTGGTACCCAAAAGGTTGGGGGCCACTGATGTACAGTTTCATCAGTCTGAATGTAGAAAATTATTATATCTGATAACTCTGATACTTTCTAGCAACACTACGAAGATGAATTAAAGGTTTAAAGGTTTCCCCAGTCCAGCTGTGACTGACTCAAAGAGGAAATGCTCGTCTCTGATTTTCAGCTGAGGGAGCCTACGTTGTCTGAGAGATGCTTCTGTTATCATGTGGCAAGCATGAAAATGCAGAATGTAGTAACCTTCCCACCAAAGTGGCAGCTCTTTATCTAGTCCTGTTTGCATGCTTTCAAGTTGCTGTGGGTTAACAGGAGCTGGGACGAGTAATGGGAGCTTATCCTGTTATATGACACTTGGATCTCGAACCCAGGCTGTCGGCTTTTCATCTGACATGCCCAGTGTCTTAACTGCTAAGCCACTGTACCATCACAAAGATGAATCGGTTGTTATAAATAACTTTGGCAATTGATCGTAAGATTAAAAAATCAAACATAAATAGTTAGAAAAAATTAAGTAACATTCAACAAAGCTTTGAGATCTCTCATTGATATCCTATAAGGGATCTCCTCTCTTTATTACAGAAATCTAGGTCCCTTTCACAAATGACTGGAGGATTAAGAGATCTTCCATAGTGCACTTTGAGATATATGGAAAAATAACTAGAATAATTTCCTTCCCCATTTTGTTGACATAATCTTTCCTTTAGCAGAAGTTTATATTATGTACCAGAATAAACTAAGTCTGAACTATATAGTAAAATTGGAATACTCTCTTGGAATTCGTTCTAGGTGAGATTGTACTTTATTTAAAGTAGATAGTCCTTGAGTTACAACAATAATTGGGACCAGAATTTCTTTGCTAAGCAGAATGTTGTTAAATGTGATATGTGATCAATCAAGAGCAATCTTGGCAGTCCCAATTGCCATAATTAAGCAAAGCCAACCAGTCATCAGGCAATCGTCCACCTCAATCCAAACCATTTGTTGTTTGGTCTCTCTCAGCCTTAAGCCTTGATAAGGTAAGGGACTGCCTCCTCTTCAATTCCCCTCATCTGCCTATCTCGCTCCATCTCTGTCCTTTGGCCACACTCTCCAGTGGCACTCCTTGGTGGCAGTGACACTGGGGCTGAAGTAGATAGCGTTCTGAGGCTTTCAGAAGTCCAGAGATTAAAGCACCAGGTCAGAAACAAGGAAAATATGAATTCTTTTTCTGCCCTAGACATGAAAGCCAACATTGGGCAAGTCATTCTCTCTCAATCCAATTTACCTCATAGGTTGTTGTGGGAAAATAGGACGGAGTATTAAGATTGTTCATTGCCACGAGTTATTTATAAAAAATAACAAAGGTGGGATAAAAATAGTTTTAAAAAATCTAAAATTCAGTCTCAGCCAGCCATCCCCACCCCCGGGCCTCTACTTCGGCTCCAATGCCGAAGAATACTGCCTCAAGACCTGTGCCATGACCAGCACTGTAGCATATATGAGCCGGGGTGGCGCAGTGGTTAGAATGCAGTACTGCAGGCTACTTCTGCTGACTGCCAGCTGCCTGCAATTTGACAGTTCGAATCTCACCAGGCTCTAAGTTGACTCAGTCTTCTATCCTTCCAAGGTCGGTAAAAGGAGGAACCAGATTGTCGGAGGCAATATGCTGACTCTGTAAACTGCTTATAAGTCTAAGTGCTATTGCTATGCTATAAAGCTCCAGCCATCCCTGCCAACTCTGCATTCCACAGGTTTTGCTGCACTATCCTTTGCCATTTTCCCATTGCTGACAGGCCATTCTTGGCCTGGCCCAATATTAGGCAATTGCTAGACATGGCAGATCTTCTCCCCGAAGCCGTTCACAACATTCTCCACATGTGTCGTTCTTGTGATGCTTCAGAAAGCCTTTGGAAGGCTTCTGAAGCCTTACAAAGCATTGCGATATTGTTGCACCCACCATTCTACAATGTGCAATGCCGTTCTCAGAGTGCAGGTAATAATCTTGGTTGTATCATTTATTTATAAAGTTCACTTGAAAATAAATTTAAATCCTGTCATTGGGATAAGAAAATGGATTGGAAGCTATTAAGATTTCTGAACAAATTCCTTCTGGTTTTTGATATTTTGGATACATGCCTGTCCTTCTATAAGTACACTAATCATGTACTGACTATAAGCAAAAAACCAGGATTTTGAGTCCCATATACTTGTTACGATCAACCTGTAAAATCCTACCCAAATGAATGAAGAAGCATTAAGATTCATGGGTTGCCACATCCAATGCAGCCTGCAAGGCAACCTTGAGACTCCACTTGCAGAGTAAAAGCCAAGATTTTATGTGCAATAAAATCTACTTTTCTTCTTATCTAAATGTAGCTGTAGTCTTAGGCTTCCTGGAACTGGGCGAGAATCATCTTTTGCATCTTAAATTCTCTCCACTTTGTTAAGTACTCAGCAGAGAATGAGACAGTCATTTTAGATCACATTCTATGTGGTTAACAACCCTTGTCCATTGAGTGCTATTCTGTCTGCAGAGATTTTTCTCCCCCGGCCTCTTATCCTGGTAGAAGTCTATTCCAAATTATAGGAGCCAAGACCAAATATCTTAACCACACTTTCTCTTATTATGAATATAGTAGAACAAAACAACTTTGGTTCAATTACTGAGTCAGGCTCCCAGGTATCTGAGCCAACAGCAGATTTTTCAACATCATCATTTTGTACCAGCATCTTTCTTAAATCCTCAACCAATATAAATACTGGCAATTAAAAGAGGTAGGGGCAAAATAAGGAAGGTCCAAAATAAATATAGCATTCTTCTTTCAAATCAAGAGGTGAAGTAAGGTTTGGTTTAATCCAGCCAATCGGATGCTACAATAATCATAAGTGTGATATCATGAGGGCATGAGGCAAAAGCTTGGTCATCTCAGCTGTGTGGAACAATAGATTCTGCAAAAATCCATCCATTTTCAGAAACCACTAGATCTCCTCTAGAATGTTATATTCCAAAGAGGGAATAGAACATTCTGGAGTTCTTGGAAATTCCTGGTGATTCTGTGTTTCTCTAATTTTAATATGTATAAAATACAATTTAAAATTGTATAAGGTATCTAGAGAGGCACAGTGTAACAAGCAATGCAAAAATATTTTATGTAAATAAATTCAATCTATATGATTAAAAAAACAAGGTGGAAACAACAGGTGCAAGGTATGGGCATATATGAAATAGCAGCTACAATAATTGAGCAGATTTGGAGCAGATTTGTTTAAAAAGTGACTAGACTGCCGAAAATGACTGCATTGGCTACCAGTCTGCTTCTGGGTGCAGTTCAGAAGCATAGAAGCCCTTGATGGCATAGAATGAGGCTATCTGATGAATCAACTTGTTCTACTAGGACAAGCCCACCCCATTTATGCTGTACAGTAGAGAGGGCCTACTGTGGATCCCATCAAAGAACTCCCAAGTATTGGGATCCAGAAAAAGCTTTCTCTGCCATAGTAATCCCCTCTTTGGACGATCCTATCTTCCATAAAAGTCTGAAGATCTGGCTCTGCCAGTTGGTCTCAAGACTCAATGGAAGAGTACCACACTGGAGGTGGCTACTAGATTGATAACAAGCCCCACCTCCCCCTTTGCTCCCTGCTTCCCCACCAGCCTTTCTTTTATTCTCATATCATTGTATCATTGTTTTCTTTTTCACTGTTTATTCTATTGTTCCATTACTTTACTACTGTTATGTTTATACTTCATTTCATTTCTCCATTGTTATTGTTGTAAGCCACCTAAGGTAGACCCACAGTGAAATACGGTAGGAGGCAAATAAATTTAACAAACAGAAGATATTGTGTGCTCATCCATTGTCAGAGAAAGAAAGGGTGATGTGGTTCTTGCGAAAGCTCAGAGATAAGCAACTTAAAGTCAGTAAGATACAGGTTACTTCAATTCTAGCAGACCTCTCTGTAGTCCTGCTATACTTTTCAAATTTTAAAATGAGGCCTTCTCTTCAATCTCACAATGTGAGAATAATTCTACAGG